CCACCTAAGGCTCTGTACCTTACCAAAATAATTAGAGCTTATGGAAGCTATCGACAACAAAGTTTGTCTCGATGCGTTTGCATTCCGGGTACTTAAAATTGACAAGCACAAGTTGAAATTCTTTCTTTAATACAAAAATTCTGTATGTATTAAAGTAAGAGGAAGAAATTAAAGGTGTAACCTAAACGCTAAAAGCACTCATGTTTTTAAATTCGGCCTTCTGTCTATTGAAAGCTGTTGAGTAATGTTTCATATGAGTTAATGCTATTCAAATGTTGCACATACGTGCTCTTTTAACACTCAGCGTGATATTCATGGAATAAGTTCTCTATTAGGTCATGTAAAATTTAATAGCTATGCCAGGCACCTGTTGCCTCGTGACATTACCTAGTTACTCTGAGCTTGACATTTACAGTCTACATGACAGTGTAGACCAAAATAACGTTCTGTAACGGCATAACTGCGTAATGATCTCCATGAATAGGATCGACCTTATATTAAACATGTAAATTTATCCTTTTCTTTTCATTACTGGTTCAGTTTCCTTTTACAAATACACGGATTACGTATAAGTATTTACATGCGCTAATGTAAGTATCAAGTTTTATACATAGTCCTTTTAAAGTTTTCTATTAGGTAAAGAGATGTCAAATAAATTTGTATTAGATAGACTAAATACTTTTTTATGTCTTTAATAATATCATACTAAAGGTCGTGTTTGTATACGGATTGTCTTCACGGAAAGTAAATCTTAACCCTTGTTTAAATATTCGTAAAAACTGAAAATTATTTTCTATGCTTTACTTTTTGCGAATCGGGAGAAGGCAACAGCTGATTACTGTGATGAACGTTTTACGTCCCATTGTTGATACTACAAGAAGCATAAAAAGTAAACTAAACCGGTCAGTGGGCTTTTATCGTCTCGGAAGCTTCGTTGAAATAAAGTAATAATAGTAATAACGTTCAATCCCATCTCATTCATTTTCTCTTTTTCTCACAACAATACAGTTATGGCTCGGCTTTTTTGTAGATACGCAAAGGGATAGCCCGACGGCGTTTAATATGTAAAGGAAGGCAAGGTTACACTCACACATGAACAGGGCATGTATGTGTAATGTGCGTTTGTAGTGGAGGGAATTCCCAACTTTTTACAAACACAATCAAAGAGTTATGTAATGTTTGCTCGTATCCGCCACGGCGACGTTAACGGGCTGCTACTGTTTGTATGAATACCGATATTATACATACATTACCGGCGTCTTCATTAGTCATAGGTCATTTACATTTGTGTTAACCAGTCTTTATCTTATATATTAATATTTCACATTCACGCCTTAAATACGTTCATAGTAAACTTTCGAGTTTCACACATTCGTCAATTTAAGCGCTAATATATCCTTTACACAGGATTTAAATCAGTAATAAAACTGAAGTCTTTTAATTCTAGTGACAGATGATTTCCCTGTAAACATATTTCTTAATTCGTACTTTCTATTTTTTTTATTATTATTCTTATTGATTTATTTATTAGTAATCTTACAGCTAACATACATATTATAAAACAAAACACTTAGACAATATACAGTGTCAAAACAGAGTACATAGATAAACAATATATATATGAAACAGAAAACAAGTAAGGCAAAAAGAGAAAAAAATAAAATAAACGAAAGCTGAAATTTAACATTAAACAATCGACAATTAATACTTAATATTCCAAAGAAAAAACTAAATAGTTACTGCTAAACAAAGTCAAAGTCCTCCCGCACCTTCAATTATTTCCTCACATCCTCTTAGGTGAGGTGGAAAATATCAACATACTCATAATTGTTGTCATAGTTAGATAAAACCCGAAACATTGACAAATTATGCAGGTAATTCGTGTTCATACGAGGCACATGAAATTGTGAGTATCTTGTCGCATACGGTAGACGAATTCTTAGAGCTATTAACGACAGTAAATAGGGGCTATCTATCTGCCCATTAAGAATATCGTGCAAAATTTATTATTTTTACTTATATTAGTCTTGCTGACTCCGCCGACATTCTAATGAGTCTAAATTAAAATATTTGCAAGAATCTGCATAACTATCAAACATTGAACTGTTTATAACTAAGGAATTTCACAAACTTCTTTTGTATATTTTCGACAGCTTTTATATAGTATAGAGACCAGGTGAAACTTGCGTACTCCATAGCATAGTGCCTTATATTTAGTCCTGTGAATGACGTAACGACAAACGCTTGTAAGTTTCGATTGCTATTATAATTTTTATTGTTTACAGTATACAACTCTTATTAGTATTTTATATATTGTCATGACTCGAAAGGAAGTTAATCATTTCCCTAAAAGAACTAACGAACTAAATATAACAGTTAACAGTTAACACATACAATTTGCAGGCCTTCTAATAGTCTTCTAATTAGCCTTCATCTGTGTTGCGAAAGATATAGCAAAGCTGCTGGCTAAGGATGTTATAACTTAAAGCCGCAAAAGTGTCAATCATTTTTATCATGGCCCCACGTGACTTTTAAACAGGTCGTACTTTACTTTGTTTACTTGTTTTAAAATCAGTCGGAAGTGCAACTGTTGTTTTGAGGTTAAACCGCGGCAGTTTTAAACCGTCAGATTGCAAAACAAAGCTATGTTTCTATATTATTTCAATTAATATTTAAATATGTTTATACATTTTTATGTGATAAAACTTTTGCAAAACACCGCGTCAAATTAATAGATATCAAAAGTTTTAACGGATTTTTACTCGATTTAGGTAACTGAGTGTCCACTAAAATGTATATTGTTCGTAAAATAAATCGGCCAGTGTTTTTTTTTACTAAAAGTACTTGCGCGAACTTGCCCTAGTCTTAAAGAAACTTAGTTAACATAAACACGTCCAACCCATGCCTATTTATTTACTCAAATAAATAAACAGCTCCAGGTTCGATTTTATAGAACTAAATGTAATAATTATTCGAAAAGATGAATAAACGTGCGCGCCAATTTTCTTTAAAATTTATCTACCTATTTATAATCATCATTAATAAATCCAAAGTATCTAGTTATTCAATGACATTATCCAGACAAAATTAAAAAAATTAAAAATTAAATCATAATGATACACTGTTAACTCATAATTTTACTTAGTTATTAAAGCTTGTTATATGTAGCAAACTGCTAATTTACAATAAAACGACAATACATTACTTGATCACGTATGGGTCTAGTTGTTTCACTGCGATGCTTGTTTGAGACGAACCGCGAAGAATCGATGTGTGAGCTGGTGTTGTGTTAGTTTGGGTGTTTAAATAGTATTTATATATCTTATTATGTATTATTTCCAATCATAAAAAGCTACCAATAATGTGATGTGAATTGTCTTTAAAAAAAAAAAAATACAAAGATAAACATGCTAGAAGTATATAAAGCCTTGTGGGATCTATTTAATAACCGTTTGTGTTAATTGAAAGGAAATATTGTTCATCGGGTTCTTTTTAATGTGGAAAGAGCACATTACAATTGAATCACAATCTTATTTTAATAATTTGCACTGTCTCAAGAAAACTTAAATTCTTGTAAGAGGTGGAAATGTAAATGGATATAAATATTCCTACGCTATTGCGCTTACATTATGTTAATGTTAGGCTGTTGATAATGACATAACTAATAGCTATGTAGGCAAGGCGGCCGTGGAGTTCTAGATTGGAATCCGGTCACATTCCTAACGGTTCGCACTTGCACTATCGACTTGATGGAACTAAATTACTGTGTCAAAATATTTCTGTTTAGTACCTGGAATTGTTATTCAAAATTCAAAATTGTAATTGACTCATAATTTAGGATCTTAATTATTAAAGATAACGACTAACTTCCTAACGTTTAACTTATAGAAGAAATTTAATAACGTCATTTAATAAAAACTTAATATAATTGTACCACGTAATAATTTTTTCAATAGTAAAGTTTTAGCTATTTTATAAGAACATCAATATAGCAAGTTCATTTCATTTCCCTGAAACCAAAATCATGCAAGTACCTGATTCGACGTAATATGCATTGTATAATATATAGGTTTTGCGGCCACGCCCATCACGAATAAAATCAATCAAATACAAGCGTATATTTATGTCCAGTTATTTTTTTGCCATACGCTAAGCATCGGTCGGTACGTTATATATTTCATATATGAAGCGACAACAAACTACACTACATGTAACCTAAACAATACGATTAGTCATTGTTAGATATTTTTCTTAAGAGAGAATAAATTCCGTTACAGAATATTTCATATAGCAGCACCTTCTATAAATAGTATTCTAGATCATGGTAGCAATTAATACGAAATTACAATCACATTTTTAATGTAATTGTATTGTATAAAAAATTTGTTGTGTACTAAGTACATATAAATGAATTAGTTAATTTAATGTATTAAAAATGTGATGTTACACAATAGAAAAACACGCAATATATTTATTACTCGTAGCTGTTTCTAAGGTTGTTAATACAACTTTAAATTCATAGATTTGTAGCAAGTTAGACAAATAAACCTAATTCCATTTTAATATTTACTTAAGCATAAACGATGTTTCAGCAACCATGATAATAATTTTAATACGGAACTTCCCTTTTCGAAAGCCCTTTTAGTTAACTAGGTCACTGAAATGTTCATTTTGACGATGTATAGTAGAGGGAAATTCTCAAAGGGGCTGTATATTTATGTCAGATAGGGGAACTTGTCTGTTGTATACCGTATGTAAGATTGTTTTATTAACGAGCACGCATGTTGTATTTCGATATTGGTCAATAAATTAGTAATGTTACATTGATCGTAATGCATTGTTCTCGTATGATATTGATAGTGCGTGGAAATAGGTGCGTATGGGACGGGGAATGCGCGGGCTGCGCACGTACCCGCGGGTCAATTACTGCATAAATCAATACGGATGTCGCCCTATGCGGTAGCTCTTTGTTCCATTCGGCTGGAGATACGAGGCCCGTCTCAGTGGTTCCAGCTCTGTCCGGAAAACTCGCTGAGGTATCGCGGGGTCGGATGATTACTTATTAACGTAGGTGGAGGCTGGCTCGGGCGGGCCGCATATAGCTCGTCGCGCGATCGATGCAGTGTCCGCCAATGGCGCGCTGCCGTCGAGCCCTGCGCAACCCTCGCGCTAGCCTCCCTCACGCCGCACCCCGATAACACACCGCCCTCATAAATCATTGAATCGTTCATAAAATACCCAAATATTCGTAAAAACGTATCCCTAATTGCCATCCAAACTCTTCGTATCTGCTGACTTGACCGGCGTACCTTGTTTTGTCGCAACGGTGGTCTTAGTTTTGAAATGTAAAATATTTTTATCAAAAGAGCCGACCCATTCCCGGCGCTCGTTTGCCTCGAAGCGGGGTTCGTACGGAATAATTGAATTTTCATCATAGAACAAAATGAGAGCTGAAAACTGAAACGGGGCGGCATTGTTGGCACAGCGAATTACTTCGGACGTCAATTATTTAGACGTTTTATCTCGTTGAAAATTGATATAACAGTAAAGGCATGTTGATTTTATTGGTAAAACGAGGCTTTTATACGTTAGTAAAAGGGGTTTGTTATGTTAATGTGTAATATGGAGCGTAGGTGGTATTTACTTTAAGTAATTGTTGCTTTTGTTAAATTAAATAATGATTGATGTTTTTCATTCATAAGCATGAATTGCGAACTGAAAACTAGGCAGCACGCAGAAAATGACTTAGACTAAATTGTTTCCTTGGTGTTGTAAAGCTACAACATAAACTTCATTAATGCTTGTAAATAGCGACATCACTACCTGATAGCTCTCAACTTCTTAAACAATAGACTGTGACATAGTTAAGAACAAATTGAATTAAAAAACTAGTGTAGTCGTTTTTTAATAATCAAAAAAAAACCATATTGTTTTAACTCAAAAACGTGTTTTATTTTAAATACAATGGGAAATATCAAGTTGGCAGCATAAGTTTTATTTTAAAAAATAAACACAATTTGTTGCCTATTAGAATCCTTTTTATATTATGCAATCCCACTGTGATTTTGACTAAGTATTAATACTAACGTATTTACGCTCACGTCAATTACGTCCATGATAAGTAATGGTATGTAAGATCTTATAGCGCCCCTGGAGGTACCTACTTAAGAATATTTAAAAAAATTACGCAAACGTTGTATTCTTTAGGGGTTTAAATGTTATAAAACAGCACTGGTTACTGACATTGTTATATTTATAATTTAAAAGATACAATTACATTACGTATACGTAACCGTAAAATATTCTAATACCCTTACATAAATCATAATCGAAATCGAAATCTTAACTTAAATAAAAAAATAAAATAATTGGGACAACTACCTTAGGACGATGGGAACATTACACAACGTTGGGATTAGAAGTCTTGATACGATCTTACGGCTAAATCCGTAAACTGTTGTAATGTTTGAAGTCCTGTAATGAGTCCGGGTAGAAAATAAAACTCAGGCATGGTTACTGTTAGCGGTGTAGTGCAACCAGAATACTACTAAAATGTTAATGATTGCAATGTTAAAAATTGCTATATATAATATAACTACAGTATAAACTCAAGGGTTTCAAGGGACCGAGCATTTATATTCGTTATAGGGAGGGAAAAATTTATGTATCGGTATTGGGTTAAACCAAATAAATTTAACTGATTTTACGTTATAGAGAGTTTTTCTAATAAAACACTATTTTGACCGGATTGAAGTTATGTATTATTATAAATTTATAATAATACATAACTTCAATCCGGTCAAAATAGTGTTTTATTAAATGAATAAAAGTTATGTTAATCAAAGACAATACTAGAGAGTTTTTCGTTAAAACGAACCAATATGGCCAACTTTTGTTCATAACTAAATGACAATTATTGATTTTTTACTATCATTTCAGCCGCCTCGCGGTTACGGCGGGCCACCATACGGCGCGGGCGCTCCCGGCGGCCCGCAACAACCTCCCGGCGCATACGGACCACCAGGCTCATATCCGCCGAGGTACCCACCGGGTCCTCCTGGCGCGCCTAATTCAAGACCTCCGTTTTCACCGCATCAGGTATGTATTATTACTTAGAATAAAGAAAACTATTTCTAACATTAGGAATAATAACATATTTATTGGAAATCTGTATTACGAAACATACTAAAACACAGATCCCGTTTTGATTTGATATAGCGCTTAAGAAATTAAAAAAAAATTGGTGACAGGTGTAGTAGTACCTATATAAGTTTTTCTTCACACCGATCGTTATTATACTGAATTTAGGTTTTTTTAATGTTAATATTCTAAGAAACATGCAAAACACTTAAAAAAAACCATTTCAATGTAGAAAATATGATTATCATATTTACTAAAAACTAGGTTGTTCTTTATGTAAGACACCGAAATATACTTCATCGAAAGGAAGATTCATCTGACTTTGCACGATTTGAAATTTAAATGAACTTCCATTAAGCTTAGAAGGACCCTTCATGGTCATATTACACGATTCATGTTTAAGACGAAACTAGAGAGTCTCGAACGTTTCTTAGAAACGTTGAGCTGGCGTCGCGGCGGCGCGTTCGCGTCGGAGCCTCATCCACTCACGTGAACATAAACGATCTATCACTCTTCACAACTCCTTTAAGGCAAACCAGCTTATATATCTAAGTCTGTAAGGCCTACAATCGCTTGATAATGCCTTCGAATGACGTAAGCCGTTCTGCGCGCTCGCTGACGTAAGCTCGTTGTGCAACGAAGCCAGAGGTACGTTTTGAAGGAGGGCTCTTGGAGCAAGCTCGCGTAGAAATCGACGTTAAGAAACGCTATGACAAGATGCAAGGTCGTTTTGAAATCATGCCTGCTGGTTAAATGTACAAAGTTAAATGTCTATCTGATATATTTATGATACTGACTATTACTATTCTTTATTTATAGTTGGTTAATATGTGGATTTTTAAAATGTATGAAAAAGGATTTTCATCATGAAAAGGTAATGTTGACTGTTAAGACGCAGCTAAGATATTTAAGATTACCCGTAAATTACAGTTGACTAAAATCAATTAAATTTTAAACCCTAGAATTAGGAATTTTAAACATCATAATATGACTTAGGTATACTGTTGGTATCATTATTTCGGAGCCTGTTGCGTTTAGACTATTAAGCTCTAAAAATAACTTAGCATATTTTTTGTCCCCATGATTAAATTTTCCAAACTTATTTCATCCATTAACGACTAATATCTCACTATTATTAACAGTATTTGAAATCATGTATCTGACATGATCCGTAAGAAGGGTTTTTTATTCACGTTACATGCTGTAAAACTAAGCACACCTCGAACTGTGGAAGTTGAATTCTTGAATCCTTGATACCTGATGGGTTTTTCCTCTCTCGACTTATTTTATACGAATCTCAAATAGCAGTGTTTTGCTAATACTCGTTTAAACCTGAATAATACGTCGACGTGGGGATGTTTCTTTCGATGGAGTGACGTCACGCAATGTTGAGAGCGGATAGTTAGGCGAGATCTGTTGTATGCGGGTATCGCGGGAATCCGGGCCGCATCCGGGTGCAATGAATGCGACGACGTTTTCAAGGGCGCGCCTCAGGTGATGACGTACGATACGTACCCCTCTGCCTCCTAACCACCCGCGGGTATACCACCCACCTAATAATGCACGTCTGCGCCCTGTCTGCCGCGTCCGAACCCACTGCAATCTTAAGTACTCCTTTTATGTTTCAACACGCGGATAATTACAGAAAACAAACCTTTATTTTGATGATCAGTCGCTTAACGACGCAAATGCGTATATTTATGAACAGAAAAAAATACCAGTAATCACCCAAATAGTTGAATGGTATTCCTTGAACAGGATGGTCAGGTGCAAGTAACGTCCTGTTAGCAAAACACAAATAATAGCATGTCAAGGTTTTGTCGAGAACTATTTTCACATATGTTTCACGTGCCCTTTAATTATTAGTAGGTATATTAAGTTGATAGCTCTCTAATTATCATAATAATAGTGGAGGAGAGGGTGGCGGGCCCATCAGCTGAGCGAAAACGAAAGTAAACAGAACTCGGTCAAAGGGTTTGTACTCACCTACCCGCAATATTTATGTGGGTAAAAGGGGGTTGCCCACCCCCAAACCAGTCACCCTCCTTTGATGGATTGGTTGGCGACCGGCGCGGATGGTTCGACTAAAACGACTGAAACACGGCCAAACTCAACTAGGCGTTAGTCCCGATTTCCTTTTACCTCAAAACGAAAAAGTTTTACCTCCAAATTATTCAGCGAAAGTTCTTGGAATTCTTTTTGTTTTGTTTTGCCCGCGGCCACCTCGTAACCCACCCTCTACTTGAAACTTATTCCAGTGACACGGATTGTTAAATAACACTCGTCGTAAAGGTTCAATCTGCAGATTACGATTTAATAAAATCTTTTTATTACCTTCCCACCATCTTTTTCTTAGCGGATATTGTACTGATGTCATTGAATATTTTATGACGTCACTGTTCCTCCTTCCCTAATGACAGGGAGAATTTTATGGGTATCGACAGGTAGTGGATAGGTTTCGGTTTACCTAAATGAGCTCTGTGTATCCGATAACAAGTAGAGACCAAAAGGCGACCCTTTACTATTATGTATATCAATACATTAATTACTTTTATTAATTAATTATAATCTAATTAATTACTCGGTTCAAAGTTATCTTTATAAAAATTCAAGGACTTAAAATGGTACTACTACTTTTCACGTCTCGTCTCTATTCAGGAGAGACAAGGGTTCTTAGGTTCTGTCAAATAATCTAACCAAAAGTTGAATCGAAAGACGAAGGTGCCCAATTTATTATTGTTAATACTTATTGGGGTAAAATAAACAGAAAAACATTTGAAAAAATTGTTTTGGGTATGAATAAAAAAAGATATTTTTTATGTATCTTGTATTTTTTCAAATCTTAATTATTTACTGCTATTTCTTTCTAAAAAAAATTTTAATGTGAAAAATATCTAGTGATGCTCAATCGTGTAAAGCACATGTCTGTGTCTACTTCGTTAGTACTTTTTGTTATTGGTTAGTGTTAAGGATTATAGTATACGTAGGTATGTTGTATTCAACCCATCACAATTGTTTCGCCAGAAATCGGTTACTTGCGTGTCTAATTAGGAGGAGGGGTTAATGGAAATTAAATAAGTTGCGATTTGTAAGTGTATAAGTCCTTTTTAGTCACATTCACGATGTATCTGTAGTGAAGTTAACTTTGCAATAGGTGCAAATTTCGCGTATAGCTCGGTGTGCAATTATCTCGAGCACTGAAGGGAAATGTGAATGAGTCATCTTAGCCGTTGTGGTAAATATCGTTATCTATGGTTCAGCCTTGAATCGTGACGCGGAAACTAGTTGCCTAGTGAAAGCATTGTGCGATTGATGCAATGAGTCTGACGCGAACTGTGTCGAGGACGTCTCGGTAATGAATGAATGAATTAGACGTGAATTATCATATTTTCCTCTTAACGATTTTGTGGCGGTTAAATATTTCAGAGAATTCTATAACACAGCTCCGAATTGGCAAATTAATAATTGTTTCGGATCGGTAGCATCAGAAAGCTCACCTACACGTCCAAAAAATAATCAAGTAAACAATTGTAATATTTGTTTGTCCCAACCCACATTGGGAGATTACAGGACTTCTAACTATAGAATGTGTCCATTGATATTGTGTCCCTGATAACCTATACTTATACAAGGCTGTCAACAATAACGTACTCCTTCTCTGGTAACTGAGTAATATTAACAAACTATTTACAACATACATACATAGTTATTCTATCTCATCGCATAACATACTAACAATTGATCTACGATATTTGAAAAAAGTTTTTTGTTTGCGTCAAAAGTCTTTAAAGCGAATATAACGTAAAGGGAAGAATTATCTTAGGACCTTGTTATCCTATAAAATTTAAAAAAAAACATATTTTGTCTGTTTTCATAAACAAAATATGTTAGAAATTGTAATCTAATATATAAAATTCTCGTGTCACAGTTTTCGTTGCCATACTCCTCCGAGACGGCTTGACCGATTCTCATGAAATGTTGTGTGCTTATTGTGTATGTCTGAGAATCGGACAACATCTATTTTTCATCCCCCTAAATTATTTTTTTTAATTTTTAGATAAATTACTTATTTTTTTATGATACAGCATAAAAAAATACATACAACCCCTAACTTTCACCCCTCTACGATCAACCCCTATTTTTTATTATAAATGATATACATGGCAAAATGACGTTTGCCGGATCAGCTAGTAGAATATAATAGCTGACTCCTTTCTAGCTAAGTTATTATTCTTAGTAAGGGCCTGAATGTCAGCCATCACCTGCTGAATAGTATGACTCTCATTTGACTTATGTTTTTATCGCTACAAAAGTGAATACTTGTTTATACCATGCAAGTAACTGCGTATTGAAATTGAAAATACCTTTTTAAAACTACGCATTAAAACGTCAAAACACAGGGCAAGTAAAGGGACGAGGAAAAGCTACACATACATAAAAGGAATTATAAATATAAACGAGTTTAGCATTACTAGGAATTAGGATAATGAATATGTATTTTTGTAATAATTCCAAGTAAAAGTTTATAATTACTTCATTATAACAATTATGCATAATTTGAGTTGTTTTTTAGAAAATTATGCGTGTACTTGTTGTTATTAATATTCTAAAAAAACTAATAAAACGAATTTTAAAACTATTTCATCTAGGGTAGGTATGCATTCAAGTAACGCATAATTTAAAATACTTTGATCTTTGTTAGTAAATTACGAAATACATTTTGTAAAATAGTTGCACCGTTTAGATATATAGCTGTAATTATTTATCTACCATTAAAACTCATTTGATAGGTGACTCTGAGTACAGCTGTTAGTCTCTTATAAATGTAGAATATACACGTGTTTCACGTCGACCTCGCTCAACAGTTATTTATAAACGCCGTATAAAACACATACTAGATCGCTGTACTTATTCGTGAGTGCATAATACACGGTCAAGGACAATCGTGCAGTACGCGTCCTATTGTTTCACCACTGTACAGCACTAACTGTTTATTGTTAATGTGAGCTATGGTAGCTATATAATAGCTTGTTGGTGACTTACTGCAAAATAATTCTTAATACAATCTTAGCTATTGCACTACATACTAATAAAGACCAATGACTGTTTAAAGTACTGATCCATCCATACTCTACAGATAGCGTGTAATTACAGTTTGTTGGTAATGATAAAAAATGAGACCAAAGCTTTTGAAAAAGTATGTGTTTAAAAGCTATAAAATACATTGTGTGACATTATAGTTATATCGGGCGAAGCGTTTACGCCTAGCACTCCGTGTAATTGCTAATAATGGACGTAATATCGTGGGTTCATTTTGTGATGAGCTTACCAGCTACAGCCGACGTGCTGCAATAAACTGTTTAGATTTCCTTTATCGACCAATTTAATCGAAGTAGTTGTAGAGAAAGTTATTTTTAATGTCATATTTTTAAGATGCGTTATCACTAAGTGAGGTTCTTGAGTTAAATTTTTTATATATACCCGACTACCTGATGAAACGGTGGGATTGTCTGTGTTGGTGAATGCAAAGGTATGGTAAGCATATTGCACCAACCTTAGGTTACTAGGAAAATTAATAATGAATGCGAAATAAATAAAAATGGTATTACGTAATTTAATTTGGTTATTATTATTATTAGGAATAAGTAATATTTTAATAATATAAGTTTTTCGTGTTTTTCGTACAAATACTCGTTTAAAACAAAGGAAAATTTGTCGAATCACGGCCTTAAAAATGCTCCAAATTTTTTTCTAATGTTCTTTACGACTTGTGTGTAAGTACCCCAAGTAATATTAAGGTTTGGACCCCTTAAAAAAAAAAAATGAAACTGGTACTTATTTACATGTATGATGATGTAAATGATATTGTCTCAGTTCCCAGTGAATTACATTTAGATTAAGTTAGGTTTTTTTTAATTCTTATTTTGGGATCAGGTTTGGTTAGAGGTTTTAATTAAATTCATGTTTATGTTTCATGATACACCATTGCCGAGTGATGAAAATTTGTAGAAAAACATTTTGAGCTGTTTTGAGGTGGATTCGTGATTCGTGACATGTTAACCAAAACAAAGATCCTATGAAGACTCTATGATAAAAATTTAAACATTCATAATTGTCTAATAACGACACTTACAATATATGTTTGTAAATAAATCGATCCTCATGCGTAACAAACAAAACGAAGATAATAAAAATGATTGAGTTCATTCATTGAATTCGCGGTCAAGGACGAACGTCGGGTGTGATTAATAGAGCTATTATTACGTTTACTCAATTAACTCGGGCAAATCTGCCAAACGCCGGCAAGATCGCAAATATTCGCTTTGTTATTGTTTGTCTGACATCATAATGGTAATGCCGCCTGATAATGTTATGCTTTGATTGATTAGTCATTTCGTGCAACATTAGGTGTGATTGCGAACACTTGTATTAATAGAATCTATTTGAATATATGCTTTTGATTTCTTCTGTAATTAGTAATGAGTTACAATATAGAGCGCTTAACCTTCAATCAATTAAACTTTTCCGATAAATTATGATAATAATGTAAGTGCTTTGAATTTCATTCTGCATACTCAGTAAATTATTAAGATTCACAATAGAAATTTAAAAACACATAAGTCTATGTGTAGATGGAAGCTTGTCAATGAATCTTGGCCTAAGTCACATCAAGAATGATTGGGTAATAGTGCTATAAAATTTAAAATATTATAAAATCACTTGTTCCAGGGCTACGAGCGGGGTGGTTCACCACAACCAACTCACCCGCAAGGTGCTCCAAGTCCTGGGTCAGCGCAGAGCGCGCCCGGCGGCCTGTCACCAAATCATGAGTCGCATCCCTCGCACATGCCACCTGGCTCACAACCACATCAGGTAAGTCAATGTTACTTTTTTTGAATTTCTTTACCATAAAGGCATTATGAAACTAAGTCAGACCCTACAGATGGCAAAAGACAGTCAAATAATTAGTGAACTTCTGTATAACATGTAATAATAATACTTGGAATCATAAAAGAGTCAGTCAGTCATACTGTGAAAGAATCTGAAATTAATATGAATTGTTAAACAATTTAAAAAGTTACAATACTAAAACCTTCTAAAGTGTACATTTATTATAAATATTATAACAACTAATGGATTATACAACTAAATGCATTTCAAACTCTTTATTTTAAGATAAAGAGTACTACTACTACTTGTTGATATTGATAGTTCTTCAGTCAAAATATTATAAAGCTAGTGATTACGTGAAAATTATAACCTATTTCGTATAATACCCAGCTAAAAACAAATGCAAACGAGCGGTTGTTACACCGCCCGCTATTTATGATGAAATTACATATGCTATTAAATAAAATAACGAAAACTGCGTTCATTTATGAACACCATAATATGGCCACGTTATTTTATATGGAAATCTGTAGCGTTAACGAAATTGCACCTCGAATATAGGACGGTCGAGTAATCCACGAAACTCGGAATGCTTTCGTTATGAACTTTACTGTTATCGCTCCCGTTAAACTGCTAGCAGCGTACGCAATTTTTTTAAATTACCATCGCCCCAACATTACTATTTGTGTTCTATGGTCGTAATGTTTTTATGGAAACTACCCTTTTTGTTATTTGTAATGTTTTCTCCTGACTTTTCTTTGAGTCTGTTGAGGTTTATTGTGTACTCGGTAATCTTTAGTCATTTCCGAAAAATAAAGTTATCATATCTACCGATTAAGCTAAAAACTAGCATTACACTTAAGTCGACTGTTTTTGGCTCGCTTCCGTCCCTAGATTTACATATTTCTCTCATATATGTATGGAGCACACGTGGTCGGCTACTGCCGACAGTATAATGGAGACTTAGCGCACATTTGCATGCCGTCTCGTCTTGTTACCGTCCACACAAAAATGTACCATGAATTCTGCATCCTTCATATTCATTAAATACTGCACATATTGGCCTAAAACATTGAATAGGACTGGCGTCGTTTTCACGTTTTAGAATGTTGAAGAATGCTATATCACTTCCCTTTGACACTTTTTAACGGGGTGTTTCGAGTTTTAGCGGCACTGCTTTCAGAAGGCAGTGAAGATTTTAAGACGTGATATACAGCTAACTTTAATCATATATGTAAATGACTTCGAGTTGATCTTGACATTTGGGTTATAATTATTAAGTTATCACGTGTTATGACATTTATCAAAATCGCTGTCATGAACAAATAGTATATAAATATAAAAAACTAAAAGGCCGGCAACGCACTCGCGGGCCTTCTGGGAGTGAGACTGTCCACGGGCGGCGGTATCACTTAACATCAGATTAGCTTCCAGCCCGTTTGTAGGGGACATCTTCTATTAAATACAGCTATAAGTTATACGTCAATTAAAATTATCTTTTCGTAACTAATATTACGAAATTAACTACAAATTATAAGAAAGCGATGCCTATATCTTAGTCATCGTATTCTTAATTCCACGCTGACAAAATTCCAAGCAACAAGCCATCTTTAATAAACGCGTCACGTCATGTCCTGGGGTGTAAAAATTAAACGTCACTCATGCCATGAAATAGCCGAAGAAGAACATTCAAGCGGTAAGGGGGCGATCGACTAAAAACATCTCAAACTAAACTTGTCATAGTTGCAGTTTTTGATAAGATGAAATACTATCTGTTTTTATTCTATTTCGTTGTTATTGTCTTGTGCTTGATAAGAAAATGTTATTTAAAAAAAAGTGTGTGTGTGTCAGCTACCACGCACGATTGGAGTTTACTCCTTACGAACGATAATTATGATATATATCGAATAGAAACAAAAGGTAAATGAACGCATCTGCTAAAATGATAAGAGAAACAAACATATATCTGTAATTATTCGGATTATTTATATTACTTCAATAAAGCGTATTACATAAAGTATGTTATTTAAAATAAATCTTGATTTCTATACAAAACGGCACGAACGACTTCCATACTTTATAAGCTGTGGTGTTTCCCAGGCTTATAGTTTCGGCTTGTGTCAAATGCACTGCAAAACAAAGATGGCGATAATGTTCTGTGGCTGTCGACCATATTTTCATACTAAAGGTGGTAAGAATATTTTATAATATAAATGTTTGTAGTAGTAATAAAACGTACCTACATCATCTATGCCCAAATAGGATTTTCTTTCTGTGATCAAAGTTACCTTTATAGTAAGAGAAGAATAAGAATGAACAATCTTTTGAGTTTTAATTTCACTGACCATTACTATTGACAAAACTCTATGGCACGCTAGACAATCTACTTTTATTTTTTACACCTGTCAACACTGACAACGTTGTTGTAACGTGGCTGTCAAAACGTGAATTCAAAATAGAAAAGTCTGTGTAATATATTCCATCTCATTCTTTTACACGTTCAATCCTACAGATATATATGTTTGTCTCTTTCTACATAACGCCTCAACATTTCGTGTTACACTTGATTTTACTCCTCATAAAATTTCCGTACCGGGCCTTATAACTCAAATCGTTTCTTAAGGAGTAAACTCCAAAAATTCCATCCATTGTTAGTATTTATTTATCCTAATAGCATTGTGCGCTAGTGATCTATAAGATATTTTGCTTTTGTTGCTACCTTATCTACCCACTAACTATACCTTAAAATTCGACAATGAAGGGAAACATAGATCTAAAATATATCTGAGGTGGAACAAAACTCAGAGCGGCTCGGCCGGTTAATACTCTACGACGTCAGTGGAGAATTTTGAGAGTCGAGGACCATTCCAGCATCGTGATCGCTCGAGAGTCGTACGGTCGAAATGAAACGTCGTATCTTATTTTATGATTAGCGGCTCGAAAGCGCTTTGTAATTTTGTTAGTTCCGCCTTTCTGGTGCTGGGGGCGAGTACAGCGAGCGGAGATCGATGCAAGCGTTGCGAGCGAGTGTAAGCGGGAAGGAGATACCCGGCTCTCGCTCCGTCCCTGTCGCTCGAACCGCCTACTAGTCAGCCATGTTGCGCTCGACCTGCGTTCGAGCCCGACCGCCATTGTAGCATTTGTAGCTAGTGATGTTCATGGGCCTCGCTCGATGCTATTGTAAACGTTTTTATCGTTCCCAAACGTATAGCTAACCGACGCGACGGCTCTCTTATTACGGCCTCTATTATTTTATGAACGCTGCAGCAATTGAATGTTTTAATATCGTAGGCACTAGCTCGTACTGATATTAAACGAAATATGTTTCCGTAATTTAGTTTAATTTCTAAAGTACCTAAATCATGACATTTTGATGGGTTTGGGTTAATTTAATTATGTTATTTATTTGTTGTCGATGAAATATTTATCGATAGCAATTAGGGCTGTATACGTGTAGGTACGGCTCCGGAATTAAAATGTCAGACGTGCAGCAACGCGGGCGAACAGGGGGGCGGAAGGGGAGAGTGCGGGGGGCAGCGTTATTAATAACCATAAGCCGGCAGACGCACGAACGTCCAGAGGGGCCATGCCGCGCGGTAATGAGGAATCACTAATTATATTTTACTGGACTCTAGCACTGAAACAACATTAATTACACTGGTCTTTTATTACGAATATCCTAATAAATCCAATTTTAATTTTTAACATTATTTTGTATCGATAACTCATGTAATTATTCTTTATCACAACATTATTACAAGCAAACTGCCTGAGGTTGTCCGGAATGTACAACGGTTTAAATTGGATTGCTCGAGGTACTGGACAGAGACTGACAAGATATTGTGTGCCGCGGCGGCCTGGGTCTACCCGTTTTATATTCCCCCACAGTGAATGCTTCGCTGTGTGCGACAGCTTTGTCATTCCCTAGTCCCCCGCTCGCTTCGTTCGTAAAAACTTTTGACATTATTTTATTGAGAGACACGCTGTTTGTCAAACGCTCGTGTAGTCAAATGACGTTTTGTGGCTAGTTCTATGCAGAACTTTTTAATTCACCATTCAAAAAACACATTATTGAAAACATAAATTGAACGTTGAATGCGGTCGGACGTGAAAGACTATTTTGAATTTGCCCCACGATAATGAGTTTCCTTTATACGGCAGTCGAGTTGCGATCGCTCTTTCATTAAACAACTTTTACTCGATTTAATCTCGTCATTGAGTCGGAACTCGTATTCGCTGTTGAGGAGTTGTCTTTGTATAAAGAGCGAGTTATCGTAGAGTGGCACGGGGTGGAATGGCGGATGGCGGATAGTGTAACAAACTGCGAAATGTTGTAGATTCCGGCAAGTTTAGCCCGGCTTGGAAGCCGGAGCGCTGACTATAGAGCTGTAGAATGTAGTCTCGCTACGTGGGGGTTGTCGGGAATTGCCTTGCTGGATAAATTATAACGCTCTCTCCCTTTTGCGAACCTCGCAAAATAATACATTTGAATTTGTTACTGAAAAGCTCCCGTTCGCTTTTGGTCTGTCATGATTTTATTCTCAGTTTATGAATGGGTTTCGTGTTATTTATTGTTCTAATGCTAGCATTAAATTCGAGTTGTAAATTATACTGTGAATTGAAAATATGTTTTTAACTTTTAATGATATAAATAGTTTTTAAACGGGTCTTCGTTTCTAAAATGATTTAGAAATTATATTATATATGAAGCAGTCGAAAAATCTGTTTTTTTCAAGACCTTTTCTTTTGAGTAGTTCTGCCGTGCCTTTTGCAAAAAATTACTCCGAATACAACTTACCAGTTGATCCGTTCTGTGGTGCTCCGTCATTATTTTATTTATTTACATAGATAATCGTAAGCATTGTTATTCATCAAAGCGATAAAACTAATAAAACGTTCACGTCATACTTCTGCCTAAATCTATTTATATGCAAGTTTATATTTATACCCAAGGTGAATCTAATTATAGATATGCTTCGAATCTTACTTATTCAATAAATGTATATGTAATTACGAATTTTATGCATTTTGAAGGTTATGCCATTTGCAATTAAGTAATTTTAATATGCTACAGTGACTTTGTTTTATTGTTCTACGATAAAGGGTTTAAGATACATTTTTGCTGAGAGATGAACAGGTATTTAGAAGTTAAACATATTCTAGGTTAATGCTACAAATGTCGCAGTCTATTTTTTATTTATGTGGTTTTTTTCTTATACCCAAAACGCAAGAAGAACCAATTGTAATTTTTTTTCATAACTAGTATTTTCTCTGCTTTGATTCATATATCAAGAAAAAATTAGGTGACATAATACAACATTTTACCTATGTAAAAACGTGGTCGAAACACTTGGCTTCAAAGAACATACATTGCTAACAATCAAACAATTTCCATTTTAATTTTTTTTATTCACAAAGCGCATAGAATTACCATCCACAAACGACCAGCTACAAAGCATTACTTATTTTCCTTATTCAACTTCGTAATTGCGGGCTTGTACAATATTTACGCCGGTGGAATTTTAAAATTCGAATCGATTTTCGACTTTATTCGATTCGCGTTCAGTTTCAAAAAGATTCTCGAAAGTGGAATTAAAAGATATCGCCTTTGTAAACGTCGAAAGTCTTAGCAAAGTTGGCGAAGGAAGAGTTGTGAATATAACTTTGCACTCGGGCCGGACAAGTTTTTAACGTCTATAATTAAGGCTTAGTCTTTTGTGAGATTCTTATAAGTGCCGTTTGAAACTATTTCTTAAACTTGTCTATTAAACTCATAAATGTTAAAATCAGTGATAAAGGATATAAATTTAATTGAGTTTTACGTTTCTATATTGCAAAGCTCACAAATTAGTACGTGCTGTAATTAATGTAGCTTGGAAGATACTAAAAATTATTTAAAATCATTCATTGCTGACACAGTCGTAGAATAGTGTCGGATCTGACAAATAGTAGACTTTACAGGGCAGCCATTTCAAAATAATGTAATTAAGTTAGTTTTTGTCATAACTATTATACAAATTCATATTCTGTTATTACGAAAATTGGCATACAACCAAACAAAAGGGTGTTTTGAAACAAAATAAATTACACAGTTTTCTATAAAAATCACATGTTTCTATCAAATCCGTCACATTACCGACTGATTAATTTGAAATTTAAAACACATGGAATTCTTTTTTAATGTAGCCATAATATATAGTCAATATTATGTCCAAATATGATGATATCCAAATATGATAAAAAGTGGATTATGGATTTTTTTCAAATCCGACATTGTTCTACGATCATGACTGTATGTATTTAAAGTATAAAAGTACATTGTTTATAAAAAGTTTTATATTCATGTTTTGGACGAGAAACTTTCGCGAGTGTCCACTCAATCTCTTGAATGATTTAAATTTAGAATCACTGCGCATAACTTGTCAAATTTAACTAACGACGTAAGCGATATATAAGAAATGTTTCCAAATGTAAGCTTCACTTGTATTTTGTAAACAACAATGTCTCGATCTTAATTGGATTACGATGGAGTATTATCAAAACGGAGTGGTACGAATAAATGCTTTATCCTTACTGAATTCGAATGCATTACAGTAGGCGCTCGTCACTTACGAGAACCTAATTTACCCTAACGGCTATCTGAATCACTTGAAGTGATCGAATTATTCGAAATATTTTTAGAACCAATTTGATATATTGTGTATTTTCTATAATATTTTACTTACAGATTAAAGTTCCTAATTTTAGTCTATGAATTTTAGTTGGAGGAAAACCTTTTTTACGATATTTGAACTAAAACTAAAGATCTTAACTTTGCTATATTTTTTTTATTTATAGCCTTAACTTAAAACAATTAGCTTCCTTAGAGGCCTTAAGTGATCGGTCGTTGTTTTAATTTAAATTTCGTATTAAAACGGTAACTTTCCACCTTTCAGGGTTATCCACCTCCACCGAGGCCTGGCCAGCCGTCAACACCAAACGCGCATGACCAAGATTCGGTAAGTCTTCGATTAAATCAACCAATTCGGATTATACCTGTTATGTGTGTATATCGAAACTACTTTATACCTACTACTTGTGTTTGTATCGCCATTTCAACATTCAAGTAATATGCCGGAACATTAATTTAAATAACCTCTGGAGGCAATTACGATAATAGTTTTAACTGTCTCTGCACTAGGCATCATTTAACATTACGATCTAGCCTAACTTAAAACTAATAAGTAATTTAAAACTAACCTAATTTACTAAAAAGGATATTTAACATAAGAAATTGTCTAATAACACTGTAATTACTGCAAGTGTATGTAGTCTCTATTAACACTGTAAGTAGTGTAAGTGTATGTAGTCACTCTGTTCTTGTGTTCTATTTTTTCACTTACCACTGCTTAGCACTTAAGACTACCGTGCACTAACACTAATTCAAATGGTTTTGTCATTTTCAATCTTCTCACTAGGCCCGTGGTGTCATGAAGTTGAATAGCCTCGACATTTACACGTGATGGTGGAGCCTTTATTCGTGGGCTCCAGCAATCTTTTGATTATCACGATTACGATAATAGTACCTAATAAAATTATTATTCAAATCGAGTCACCGTAGTTGGCCCTTTTCACATGCGTCCACTCAATTTATCTAAATATGGCCCTTATTTGCTCACCACATTGTAATCTTCGACGAGTGTTTTCATTAGCACATGTGGCCGCGAGAACAAGTGAGGCACGGTGTATTTGCGCCGACACTTCATTTTGCCTGTTTGCGCCCTCGCGCTCGGCGCTTCACAATAAGCTCAGCTTAATTGTGTTCAAAATCTGACAACCTGCTAGCAAGCCAGTTGCATGCCACTGATAGTTTTAATACTTTGCATTTTTAATCTAGCAATTTTATATTATTTATTTGTCCGTACTTTTCTTTTAAATACAAAATTTAATTATTTTCAATACTCACAATTACATATTAAACAGGTTACTGTAGTATTAGGTAAGTAGTTGTGAACCATTTACTAAATGTTAGTAGACTAGGTCCGTAACCTTTGTAAAAGGTTAGGTCGTCGGTATTAATATTTAGAATTATAGTTATATCGGTGGACATGTTATTTTTGCCCGTGCTTATTCGACAGGTATTACGTATTAACATGTCGTATAGAGTAAATATTTGTGATGGCTTGTCATTGAGCTATTTCATTAAGCGCAGATCAAAGTGAACGAGTGCATTTGAGAGGCACAGCCGGCGGCGAGGCGAGACTGTCGACACAGTGTTTTATACACATAACGATAAAAAGAATTGTCATTGACAAACACTAGCCCTAGCGTAGGGTTGTCGCTAATTGTATTTTTGTTGCAAAAGGCGACCTAAATGATAAAAATGTTATGAAGTTTTTTGTATTTGAGTTTATAATATATGGCTTAAGAACCCTTATTATTCTAAGTAAAGAAGCAGTAAAGCTTATATCTTCATATTCAATAGCACAGTTGGTTCAATGCGGGCGAGTGAATGGCCCGAGTCCAAGTGTGGTGTTGTTTTAGGATCCTCCTACTGTGCCGGGAATGAGATTTCCGCATCTGTATCCTATTGAAAAAGCTAAATACCAAGAAAGTATGGTAGGTAAAGTAGGAAAGTAAAGTATATTAAGCTCAGTCTTTTTTTTTTAATCAAGGTCAAAACTCAAAGCATTTTAAGAAGTCAGTTTTTCTGTAACTTACATTTCACAAATAGTATATTATACAATATAATATAACTTTCGTAATAGCTTGTATTTAATCGCGTGCGCTACCCCTCGAGCCGCTTCGGTTTCAAAGATTATACGTCAACCCTAAATCGTATCTAAAAAGATAGAACAGTGCTTTGAAGTTGATTGATACGGTTAGACGAGGTAGCATTGTCTGGCGGTCCGGGGGAACCAAATGAGAGGAATTATTTAAGCGAGCGCTGCGATGTGTCGCTTTTTTGTAATGAATTTACGGGGACTAGGGGAGCGACAACCCTACGGGAGAACCACCCCGCCTTCCTTGCACGATACTGTTAAGTTTTTACGTTCTTTTAGTGATGTCAACGTTCAAGATACAGTTGCGGGACTTTGCTTTATGAATGCTTGAAGGGTTGACTTGCAGAACTGATAAGATACAATTTTAAAAATTTCTTTGGATTGCAGTATTAATGTCTGCTATTCGAGTTTCACTTTCCATTTATATTTAATGTGTTAGTATTTAGTACATATGGTATTAGCTTATTTTTAGGGATTTGTTTTAATCCTTTAAAAACGGAAACGATAAATTTGATGCGACACATACGATATTTATAAAAAGCGTACGTATACGCTAACAAAATAGTTGTCCATGCCGTCCCGTAGGAACATTTTCCCATCTTGTAAAAAAAACGTTTAAATAAAAATATAACATTATTTCTAGCGAAAATTCCTAGTAAGTTTGAGATGGGGTTCTGATTCGGGTTATTTATTTACGCAACGTCAGCTGAATGACGGCTCAAAGGAAAATATTACTCGGCCTAGAGACGAAAGGGGCGCTTTGAGAATGTCCCTACAATGCTATTCATTAGTGTCACAAACTCAACTGCACCCTAAAGATGCTTTGAAATGTTTAAAATATTTCTCTACCTCTCTTATCTTTGATTGAAAGGATGAGATTTTTTAACTTGTTGTAAAACATAATATGCGATTTCTAATCGAATTAAAGAATTAAACACTAATACAATTTCAATAAAATAAAAGTGGTTATCGCTTTAAATAGTTAATGTTTGGAAAACTCAATTACGTACTTCATAGTTAATGCGTCGTAAAACTTGTGACATAAAAGAATTTTGTGTAACAAAATGTGCAAATGAAAGGCAAGCCCGTGCACTGCATGTTCATAATAAACTAGATTGAGTGGGGTAGAGTCAAATGAATGACGGTAGCATTGTACGTCGTAATCAGGCAACGTGTATGCGAAAACAAACATTTTAAATAGAGGGAAAATTAACAATGTTTTTGGAGAGGAACGATTGACTGATCTTTTATTTGTTGAAGAGGTATTTTTTAAAGATCTAACCCCTCTTTCTAACTTCTCTTTCTTTTATCGTATATTCCAAATAAAGTTATTTTGAATATGATAAGGTTTTCATACATTTATGACCAAAGTATCTTCTATACGAAGTTGTTTGTAAAATCACATTAAAACATATCTTTCATAACAAATAAACAATCTGAGTCATTAAATATTAACTAATTTTATTACAACATTCAATGCTCCTGCGTTTACAGTTTCGGATGGCTTAAGTTATAGTTATACTACTTATTGTTTCGGATTAGTGTATCTAGTAGTAGTTACAACAAAAATTATCCATTAGTTTTCAGTGTGTGGAACTCGCGGCAACGACGCGGCTGATACAAAAGGCACTAATGTCAAATACACGCGATCGTGCACAGCAATGTACGTGACTAACGTTCTATTGAATTTGTGAGCTCTAACTACACGTACTAATTTATACAGAGTTCGTCTATGTACAGTCATTAAAGATATTTATAATAAGTCTTAAAAGCTATATTATTTTAATTGGACTAAATCGGAAGTATACATATATTTTATTTGTGTTAAGTTTCGTGGATACAATGTATGCTCAAATGAGATTATGCCAATAAAATTGTCAATATTTTTGCTGACCTCGGTGTCAACTTTATCTGACGTAAATTATAACATGCGAACGTTACTCGATTCAGACCGACCAGTATTTTTGCTAAAGTAAAGTCTGCTTTTATATTATATTTTCGGATACAGTTGACTAGGTGAAAATAGATAGCCGTCTATGTAAAATATTGTAACTCCATTAGAACTTAATACGAGAGGAATAAATCACTTCACGTATTTCTATTTAAAAATCATTGTTCGCTGAAAAATTAAAGATGTGATGTGTTTAATTTTACTTTACAAATCCGACACGAGATTACAAATCTTACTTTGTATAAAGGCTGTATAATGTTCTCCGAAATTCCCAACTGCGCTCGCGAGACCCACATTTTTGTATCCTTTACAGTTACTAGCAATATAGATCCAACATTAATTTAGCTTAGTGAATATATTTCAAAAGAGAGTTGCAACAATCGCATTTCCAACGAATAATGGCGTTGATACCAATTTATCGCGCGTATATATATTTTTTAGTCCGGACAGATGGATGGAGTGGCCGCATTCAACTCGAATGTAATTATTGCGGTCCGATTTCGATAATACGCCGCGAGGCCGTACGCGAACAAAATGCGGTCGGCACTCGTTAATCGTTATACTTGCATTTTAATAATTGAACTCGCAAAACAGATAAAGCCTTCTCACATTGTGCTATTTCATATAAAACGTTGGGCGTGCATTAATTTTGAAATGCAATTTGTCAAATATTGAAAATGATAAACGCCACCAAATGAATTTTGTAATTGAAGTTTCAATAATAAACAATGTTGTTTAAGTTACTTTTAGTTTTTCAAATTTTTTATGTGTCAATTCACAATACACTAATATTTTAGTTAAAAATCCAACTTAGTTGAAATGTTGTTGACTTATGGTTGATATAAAGTTTTACCCCAATTACGTGTGGAGAGTGGGCGTTTTAATAGCGTTGTAAAAACGGACCGCCGGTAACGAGGTTGCACCGGACTCGTCCTGTAACTATACTTATAGCCCATGTATTGTACATGCACGGAAAATACTGTTTCTTGGTACAATTTATATTCCGTCTTTTTAAAAGAAAGTGAAAACATTTAATTTCGAGTAAAATATGCACTACACTAAAACTGTCTAGAAAAGAAGTTTGAAGTATAGTAAATTTATAGAGATTTTTGTCTTTTAATTACTATTAAGTCAATTGAATAGTTTTTACCTGACATTAAATTGGAGTACTTAAAGACGAGCAGGAGGCAGGATTATCCTTGCAAACCTAAATTATTAAATAATTTATAAATAACAATTATATTTTGTAATTTTCTGTCTAATAAAGAAGTCTTCGTGTCAAACGAGAGTCTACTCAGATATGGCTATAAGCATACTACAATATAAACAATACCCAGTAGCAATGTAAGCCGAGCGGAAAAAACTGTGTAAGAAACAAGTAACCTTTCTACATTAAATTAATTATGCAACTACGTTGTATGCCTCATTGATTGTAAGCAGTACCTAGTTAAAGTACCCTTGTGCTCGTCAGGCCCTTTATTTAATAATGTTTATAAACGTCACGTGTATCAGTAGGGAAAAAAGCAATCTTCGAGCGACATTCATTTGTCTTAAAATTTTCCATCTCGGTTGTTTTCCTCTGTAGACCTCGAACTTTCGTATACATTTTATTAAATGGCTGTTAATAAAGTTTGGACAGGTCGATAAAGGGACATGCAATATAAGTCAGGTTTTTGATCCCGTTTATGTCATCAAAAAGGATCCCTCCCCATATCGTTATTGTTTTAGAATGCCTCTTATTTCTAATGTTCGTGTGCTGTTACCGTCGTAAAAGGGAAGGTTTTATAGATCTCCGCAGAATGGGGTGAACTACGGGTGGTCGTCCCCACCTCATTTGTTTATGAATTTTCATAAACTAAACAATGTATTGCGCTTTTACTTCGAGGAAATTTATGCACCTGCTTGTTTATATTTTAACCACATTTCATAATTAAATTATTAAATGTGAATATCATTTAATTTATTTAGTTTAAATTAATAAAGTACTTATTATTTTGGCAAATATAATTTGGTGTTGTCAAAATTATTTGTGGCATAAAAATCGGCATATTGAATACTTTGATTTTATGTACTGTAATTATCCTTCCTGTCGTTAATGCTGTGTATTGAAATTTACCCTTCTATCAGACTTGCTTTGATGACGGTCGTGGTAAGCTCACTGCCTGGATCATCAGTAAAAAATGATACCAAATTTGCTTGGCCCGATTGCTGAGAGGTCACTTAGATTAACTTCAAAGCTGTTGCAGTAGTAATTGCAATAAAAAAAAGAAGAGTAATTAAACAAGAAAATTTCAAATTATAAGGATCGTAATTGATGTCTACATGAATAGAAAAACAGTTGAATTGAAACACACTAATTAAACGTGACAAGTAATTCGTGTTATAAATTTCGATAAGCGGTTATTAACCTTCATACAGTTAGAGCATTAGCTAAATATAGTCATAATGTAATCGCTTCTATGTTATTGTAATGTCGACATTGACCCCATGTCCCCGCCAACGTAACGTCACAATAATCAATCAAGAACATATTGGCATAGAACAAATTACTATTTGCTTTTTTACATGTACATTGTACACTAATATTTACCAGCGGTTTCAGTTGTCAGATGTTCGAAGACATATAGAACTAGATATTTTATAATCATATTTAGCTTTTCATTTAGTGTGAACGACTTTGTTAGCATTATAAAGATTTAACTGAGCTCACCATATACCTAATCTGATGCTAACAAAGTCTAATTTTTTTTAAATTAGTATTTTCCTAATCAAGAATTTTTTTCATGACTGAGCTTAATAACGAGCTGAGAAATTAATAACGATTCTGAGTAAAGCGTTTAGTGTAGGTTCTTATGTTTCTGTTTTAGAATTGAAAAGTCTAATGTCACGTCTCGACTTTAACTCCAACAACTTAGACTTAATCATAAAAAAACTACTTTATATTTCAGATAATTGTATATTTTATTTCAATAATAACCCAATGGTAACTTCTTTGTGGGATATAAATAATTAAGTAATCTTGACATAAAAAATTACAAGTTTAGAAGAATACAAGTGCTTTCAAGTGGTATTCGTGTATTGATTTATTGCTACTTGAAAATTTGTTCCTCTTAATTCACGTAAGTTAAAAAACACATCACTTCTTTATTTTGGTGTAGTCTTTCCTACTTACCTGGCTATAATATAATAATTTAAAAAATGTGTAAATTTAAATTGACTAAAGCTTTATATTATATGTAATTAATCCATTTTATTTTTACAACGTGAAGATACAAATTTCAATAAAATACCGTTAAATGATAATACAACTATTAACAGGAAGAATCCTATTGTCCAAGACCACGTACAAACAATATTTTACGCATTGCAATATCAGCACGGAACGATAGAACTGTTGACTCGTATTAGATTCAAGCTGGTACCATGATGTCATCAGATTGCGATGAGGCGCGCCTTACCACAGTCTGTGAACTAAAGACGCTACAACAAAAACATCGTTTTTATAAGACGCCCGCGCTTTTGTTTTAATTTAAGTATTATGAAGACAATGTTACGATAACCATGTTTTGTATAAATTACAAATTATTTATTGGTTATCCAATTTCGTTCAATATACTAGTACTCCGTAAAGTTGATATATTATTATTACTATCAATACTGAGACTACAGAGAAGAATACTGAGGCAAGTGATAACTCGTCTTTCTTCAGTGTTACCAAAGCATCCTGAGCTTCCTATAGCACGCAGGGCTCTCAAAAATTTGGAGAAAACGGTAGAGTGGAAGGTACGAGATCCCGAGGCAAATCGTACATTGACCACTTTTAACAGGCCTTAGTATTATACAGGGGCTAAAGCCGATGACAGGGCTGAGAATGGAGGAAGCTATGCAACACCAACACAAGCTACGGAAAGAAAGCT